CCACCACCACCCACACAGAAATGCAAGATGAAACCATCATTCAGCTTTCTTTGTCCCTTTTTCTTTCTCCATCTTAGTTCCATCTCATTTAGAGCTGCAAAGCTCAGTGTGCAGCAGTCAGCAGGTCCTGCACTAGAACGAATGCAAAATAAAAGTGCTGAGGAGAAAAAGCTACAGCCAGAACCACGTCAAGTACAAGGTGTTACCCCCCCCCAATGCCAAGCCTCATTTTGATTGCCATAGTGTGTGTGTACATGTAAAACCTGTAATGTTTATTATCTAAACAGAAATGACATTGCCTCTTGCATTTGATAAATGTTGTGGTGGCACCCAGATGTTCTTAATAAATTCCTTATCATCTACCTGTATGAATTAGTTTTTGATGTCTACAGGATATTAATGCATTTGCAATCTATTTTTTGTCATAAACATTTTCTAATTATGTTTTTACTGTACAGTCTGCCCAAATGCTAGCTAAATGTCCTGCTCATACTGTAACACTCTTGTCTCTAAGACAGCAGCATCTTTTAGTCTGCACGTGTCCAGAAACAAAGACATGCCATCTACCTGACAATGACTGCAACGGTCACCCAGGTGGAAGAAATCTGGCCATTGTGAATACAAGCCATTGCTCCCAGAGAGAACAGGAAAGATTAAAATGCTACAAGAGTCAGGCCACTTGGAATTCTTGTTGAATGACTGGAACAGGGTTAAGTAGCTTTAAATACCTCATGACTTTGAGCTTTGATGGGGGGAGAAGATCAAATCAGACAAAAAAAAAAAACCAACAGCACAGAAAAAATGAATACACGTGTTTAAAGAAACTAATGGATGAAAATTAAATCATTAAACACAGTATACAGTTAGTTGAGGCCCACCTCCCAACCCTCAATATGGGACTGCCATTCCTCCAAAATCTCCAGCTTCTCCATCTGTCTCTTGGCTTCGTTGATGTTGGAGCACACCGCCTTCATCACCTGCAGAGACTCCTGAACCAGTGCGTAGTCGCTGTGCTTTTTAGGGGTTCTCTTCAGCAGCTCCTGCATATGTAAAGATGACAAATGTGTGACAAATGATAATGCAGACACACCAAAACTGATGCACTTGAGCTCAAATATGCAGCAAATCTGGATTTGAATCATAATTTTCACAACACAAAAAGAATATATATTTTTTTTTATTTCATGTCCATGCCACATTCTCTCATCTTCTAGTGGTTCATGAGCGTAATAGTTAAAACCACTGCTACTGCATGCTACAGTCACAAAAGCAATGGCAATCTCTTCAGTTACTGGTGAAGATACTAACAGCATGCTGTTTCAGCAGCAGCTACTATAGGGCTGATTTATGCTGTTCTTGATATATCTGCACTCATTAATGCTATCTGTGTCATCTGAGCGAGAGGAGGCTTTGGCAGCTGGAAGACTTCAGATGGCTGTGCATCAAATTTCCCCCTTATTTATTATTACATCTCCGTTCCCATGTTTGTGGCTGTTTAGAGAATGTATGAGTGAACTAATAAATCATACGATGAATGAGATGGGGCATCTCATATCACCAAAGCTTTTGAAAAGTGCATTTCATTTCCTCAAATTTCACATCAGTAGATGGAACAGCTCAAAGTGCAGACATGCATGGGCCCAGTCCAACTGTCTGAATGCACAGCTGGACAGAGGTGGTGATAAAAGACTTCAAAATTTAATTTAAAACAGGGATGTGACATTAAATGAGACTAGCATTTAATTACCAAGGGAGATGCTGGTGTGAATAAGATGCCCTGGTTAATAACTAGGTGGTGGTGGATGAAAAGAAGCCCTACAGAGTTGGCATAAGGGTGTGGTAGGTATCTCTATAATACATGTTTAGCATACACAGGACCATACTCGGGGCAGCACGGTGGTGCAGTGGTTAGCACCGTTGCCTCACAGCAAGAAGGTTCCGGGTTTGGGCCCCACCTGGGACCCTTTCTGTGTGGAGTTTGCATGTTCTCCCTGTGCTTGCGTGGGTTCTCTCCGGGTACTCCGGCTTCCTCCCGCAGTCCAAAGACATGCAGCTTAGGTTGATTGGTGTCTCTAAATTGCCCATAGGAGGGCATGTGCGTGTGTGTGGTTGTTCGTCTATGTGTTAGCCCTGCGATGGCTTGGCGACCTGTCCAGGGTGTACCCCGCCTTCGCCCGATTGCCGGCCGGGATTGGCTCTGCCCCCCGTGACCCCGTTCAGAGACTAAACGGTAGAAAATGAATGAATGAATGAAAGGACCATACTCACTCGGAGCAGCAATGGGTACTTGCAGATCCTCTGAATAGGAGCTACCAGGTAACCCTCTAGTGGCACCTCTGTGTTTTTCCTGCCTCCCAGCAACATGCAGTTCTGGAGGACAAGAGAGAAGAAGGTGTTTAATAATACTAATACTAGTGCCTCTGGAAAGAAAACCACACAATCAAGGTAAAGCTGAGGTCTGAAATTTGTTGTTTAATTTTAACAGTCATGGTGAATTAAACGCAATATTTGCTAGAGAGCTGTGTTGTAATAAAGGTCTTTGACAAACTATATCAAAGGGGTTTTTTTTAATACAATTATTATTTTGAAGTTTTATTAAAAGGAGGGTCATGTTGTCACTTGTGATTTTATAATATCTGTTGGGTGAGCAAAGATGTGAAAAATTATCTAGGGATGTAAAAACAAATTTTATTTGTCTTAACATTTAGGTATAAAGTGTTACTAATGTGCATGATAATAGTTATAATTTGTGCATTTTCATCATCATCTATCTTAGTTTAGCGTGTTTGCATGCTAATATTTGCTAATTGGCATCCCTCGAGACAAGCAAGTCACTTTCAGTATAACATCCTAGCATAAACTAATCAAAGGGGCCCTTATCTACATGTGATAGGCAAAAGGTCCTGAGGTCAACTACTAATATTCCCTCTCACCTAAAATTTAGATGAGGTGCTGAATTACAGCATAAACAATAAAGCAGCCTTTACAGCGGTCAGTAGTTCAAAGGTTTACTGGAGGATAATCAGTACCTCACCCTGGTTATTGCAGGACCTGGAAGGTGACCTGAGGTATATCAGCCCATATTCAAGTCCAGACTAAAAAAGTAACAAAACCCAAAAGGTCCTGTTGGAAGGTTAGGTCACCAAAAGATCAAACCTATAAAGATCAATTTCAATAAAAGTCAATTAACACCTTTGCCTCCTCTGGCTTTGGAGAATAAAGGCACACATGAACAGTAAATCAGACATGGAGCTCTCATAGCCACTCTTCTCTGACAGCATGTATATTATGCATATCTGTATGCATTTCATTCCTCACCCCATCAATTACAGCCTATGAAAAGGTAATATGCGTCAGCACACAACCTGCCAAACAATACAAGTACGTCTGTGGTTATACTCTAGTTTTTCTGGGCATGTAACTCTGCTGTAGATCTCGATTTCAAAGCACCTTTTTCGCACAGAAGCCTGAAAACATAATGGGTGAAAGGGTGTAGTGATATAAGCGTATGCCACTCTGAGCCGAAGGAGTGACAATGAGTAGAATTACAAACTGTTGTAGCCTATAAAATGAAAAGCATAAGCTATGGACAAAGACTGTACACAGCAACAAGCGAACAGCTGTGGGGAAAAAAAAAGGTGAGTATGTTTGACCCCCGAGTCCATACATATTTACAATTTAGAAAGCCACCAGTGGGGGTGTAGTTATCTTTTGTTCTAGCAACATGATGCTCCCCTGTGGAAGTGAAAGTCTCTCAGAGTGTCAGGACAGGAAAAGGGAGTCCGCCTACACATTGGGCAGAATCGCATCAGCACTCGGACACACTGGAACATTAAGTTCATGGTTACACTCTGTCCAGCTGCTATGTGTGGGTGACTGTGTGTTTTCACATGTGAACATTTCTCAAATCCAGTTTCAATCATTCATGACCCAACATGGACTTGAATATTAGGCCTTGAAAAAAATTCAAACAAAAAACAAAGTGATTAAGTTCCAAACCTTAGAGCACTACAGCTAATAAATGTCCATTTAAGGCCACACATTTAAATTAGTACGTTTTGTTTGTACAAATTAAAATGTTAACACAGAATGAACTTAAATGCTGACCTTTTGAGATTTGCCTGTCAGCCCTGCGTAACAGTGTGGAACCAACAGATTGCATGTTGCACTTAATAAGTTACTTGCACATTCAGAGCCCCTTCTCACCAGTAAACATGTCCGGACACTCCTGATCTTATTCAGCTCCAGCAGCAGCCTCTGGGCCTTCTCATGATTCCCACAGTATTCATCATAAATCTGGAAATGGCTCCTCTGCAAGAACCAGAGAAAGTCAGTGTGAGAAGGATGCAGAAAGTGTAAAAGGAACAAAATGGCAGACAGAACATAAGAGAGAGCGGGCAACAATGTCAAACAGAAACACGGGTTTCCAGAAATAAATTAAGCCAGATAGATCAATACAGAAAAACTAACTAAAAATTAACAAAAAAAATGAAAGAAAAGGCAAAAACAGACCACAGAACAGCCATATCAATTATTGAGTCAGAGCTGGCACTGACCGAGTTCATCACACACTCCTCTCCACCACAAAATACATAATGGAGTGTTACAGCAAGTCAGCATGAACATTTGGTTTTTGATTTGAGCCATCTACTGTCCAGCTGGCTTAAGTTTTACCTAGTTGTGTTTTTGTAGTACACTTAAGATTTGATCATTCTTTCTTGTAATTTTTAGAGCATCAAATTACTACAGAGAAATACACTTCAAAAAGTTCTAGCATAAGGGAAGGAAAGGGGGGGAGAAAAATAAAATGTGTCCAAGTCATGTCTCTATAGACATGAGCACTCATGACTGAACCATTTTGGTTATGTTCTGAATTCTGTCTCGTTTTCTCAGTAAAGTCATTTCATCAAAAGACTCACTATCTGTACTGCTAGATCACCTTTGATTCACCTGTACGAAATGCAGTTCCCTGCTACTGGCAGAGAAGTCGCCTAAAGCCTGAAAGATGGAGGGTAAGATTTATTGGACTATGAAACCTATTATATGCAAGTGTGCCGCGATGCATCAAGCATCAAAAAAGAGAGCAGTATATCAGAGCCCTATCAAGACCATTACAGGTGTATACTCTGTCATCATGGGTACTCCTGAGAATAACTGACAAAATGCAGTGCATTTTAGCATTTTCAGGAGTTCTCATGGACATACCTAACTGCATTTCAACTCTGATACTAAGAGAGAAGAGAAACAGAGCAGGCATCGATGTGCACGAGCTACAAGACAAGACTGCGACTTGATAATTAAAGGTGGTGAGATGGCATTCAGCAGCAAGAGAAGAAGTATCATGCAAAGGCGATAAAAGCAGTCGTAACAAAGCACACGTTCCTTACAAAATGTAAGAAACAGCGGCCGATTTCATGCTGAGCATGAGGGTCAGGCTGCAGCAGCTCTTCCACCATGGACAGGAAGTCCTTGTGAACAGCCAGAATCTCTTCAATGTTGGAGAATAAAACCTGGGAGGAAAAGGAATACAACTGTGAGAAATAAGTACATCTTAGTTTTCTGTATATTTACTTTTTTTTTTTTTTTTTTTGTCAGTGTAGTTCCTGATTGCCCGAATCAGTACTTGGGGAATATACAGCATTTTTGTGGCCAGCGGCAAAAGAACGTCTGACACCATAGAATTGAGAATGAAGTTTTTGGCAATTTGTTAATTAGCTGAAGAAATTAACACAAAGCTGGAGAGAGAAAGAAGTTAGTGCAAATTCAATTAAGGCACGAAAACCAGATGCCTTTAAATAATCTTTAGTCGCACTAAGAACAGCGTAAATCTGGAGGACTGGATGTCAATCAACTGTTTTGTGGCATCACAGCTTGTTGCTTCCCATTGACTATGTTACCTAAACCCTCTCTATACACCGTGTTCCTAAACAAAACATGAGTAGACATATTCCAAAACACAGGACATGCAGCAAATTTTCTCCTGAATGTGTGTTTACCTTTGAGAGTAAGCAAACTCACTGAAACCGACACTCCCACTGCGAGAGAGCATCCTTTATTATCCTCCAGCTGGAACTGTTTATAAATAGATTATATTTCCAGCTGCTTCCTGGATCGCCCACTACTTCTTTCTCCATTCAGAAGAACTTGGCTATTTTAGGTTGAAAGAGCATCCTGAACAAGGGATCCACTTTATTTAGGTTCCAGTGTAAATTCCAGCTGTCCTAGATGTTTTCCAAATCTTAAATATGCTGCCCTATTCATCACAGACTGGCACTCACCTTAACCATTTCCTCTGTGATGTTCTTGTCAATTTTGGCCGCTGCATACTGGTTGAGTCGATGCAGAAACACCTGAAGTAGAGCAGAAAAGGAAAGAAACAGTTAACGCTTTTGAACTGGCCCAAGGATTAAATTGTGTTTTGGTGACTGATCACTTCGACCACAGAAAACTGGATCTGAGGTTTTGTGTGCAGCTGCAACACTTGGTTGCCATTTTGCTCAGGCAACCATCACAATAGACAGTTGATACATATGAAACGCAATCTTTTCCCCAGATGAAAAGAAAAACATTATTGCAGCATATGGTATTTCAAAGGCGATAATGTTAAGTGCCTGGAGATGGTGAGGTGGTCAACAGTGTGTGAAGTGAAATGGATGGGAGTGCCCTTAATTCAGTATATAAGGACCCTGGTTGCCAGGCTGATTTGCTGCACAAACCCTCGACAACCCATTTAATGCTTCGAGGCACTTTCTGAGAATGGCAAAATAAGAACGTGTAATTCGAATGTATACTTAAACTGTGACTAAGGGGGAATTAGTCATTGTCATTTTCTGAACTCTGCCTGAGGGGGAGTTTTTAAAGATGAAGACGTCCATCAACAGGTACCAGACAAGAATTAACAACATCCCACTTTGACTTCCATCAACAGGTACCAGACAAGAATTAGCAACATCCCACTTTGACTCTGACTGATGCCTATAAGGCACTTCACTTCAGGGATGATATGATGAAATCCAGAGCAAGGCTTGAAAATATAAACTTTTATCAAATATAAAGTACATGAGAAATTACATTCAATAGCTCTGCATTTTAGCTTCATCACAATTGATTTTGTACAACACAGTTCCTAATGTTCATATTACTGCTGAATTGGAATGAGAGCAAGTGAAGGAGTTGGAAAAATGTCCTTAGCAAAACACCACAGTTTTCATTTTCTGTGTCATATAACTAACTTTTCTGATCCCTTAAACTCCATTAAAGGCAGCAGTTCAAGTAGGATAAATGCAAAGATGTGACCCAGGAACAAGAAACCTGTCGGTTCACAGTGTGGCAAGATTCGCGACACTGAAAATAAATTAACCAAAGGAAAGAAAAATTATTAGTTCAACCAGCAGTTTCATTCCAACTGCATCAGAACATGGTTTAGAAATTCCCAGAATTCAGCTGGGCTGTCAAAACTCTATTTCTGGGCTGTCACTGAGAACAGCGCAACGTGACAGACAACACAATGGGCACAGAGGCATCCAGAGTGGGACAACACACAACACATTCTGACATAGAAAAATAATTCATCAGGAAAACGCATGATTTCAGCATTTGTACAGCATGACAGCCGCTCCTGAAACAACAAACCTGATAAAGCTCCACAATAAAAATCAGTGTCACAGCTACTGCACTGAGAAGTTGCATCTGTCTTCACAGTTGCCCCTAACCATAGGCATCACTTTATAGACCCACTGAGGGCTTTAAAAGGCATCTGTCGCCTGATGCAGCCACACAGAAGGCAGCCGGACCTGAGCAAGCATGTAAATAGCTTACATTAATGAGCAGACACAGCAAGAATTATTCAGTGATGATGAAACCTGAGTGTTTGATTGTGTAGTGACACTGAGCTTATTCACAAGACTCGCTTGGACAGATGGATAGAACCTAAATCAGTGGTAAAATCTCCATCTCTAGCTTATGATGAACCCAGTGTTCTCTTAACTTTCCAAGAGAAATAAGCAGACATTAAAAAAAATAAAATCATCCTAATCACAATGTATTGATGTCAAGCAACACTTCAAAAGGAATCATATAAATAAATACTTGAATCTGGGTTTGTGGTTTGGAAAAGGGGGCTTAAATAATCAGCTTCTTTGTCGCAGGCCAACTCCACGCTGATTACCATTCTGTAGCTGCCTTGCAACTCTGCAACTCACAAGCATTAGCATCTGATTAGCAAGTCTAATATGTACAAACATGGAGCAGACTTCCACAGGCCATCACAAAAGCCTGACAGGGTTTACAGTATAGGACCTTAGCTGAGCTAAGGTACTTCTAATTTACATCAAAACATTACTTCCTATCATTGATGTGTGACAAAGATCGGCATAGGGAGTCTATCACTTCAGTCTATTCAAGAGGAAATAATCATTACATCTGCTAAACATGGAATTAAACTGCACATCTAGCGCTATAGGGGTTCTACTGCAAAGCATAAGAAGCCACACTGCACAGATTTAACTAAAGTAAACAGCATTTAAAAAAAAAAAAAAAAAAAAAAAAAAAAGCCCAAAACCTCAC